GGGACACAAACTCGAGAATGTCTCCAGTACATCTTAAAGCAAAACCTCAGAGAAAAACAGCTTGTTCACAAATTAAACTAGAATTTCTAGAAGAGATACAAGAGCTTTTTTTTTCCCCAAGAAAGTTAAATGTTTTTGTAGAAGAAATGAGAGCACTTGAGGGGAAAAAAATGGGAAAGAAATGAGAGCTATGGAAGAAAGAATTGGAAAGGGAATTGACAACTTCAGAGCAACAAACTCCCTGAAAATTAGAATGGACCCAGTAGAAACCAGTAATTCCATAAAGTAACAAGAAATAACAAAGTCAGAAGACTGAGGAAAACACAGACACATGTGTATGTGTACACGGAAGAGATTAAATGGAATCATAGCAAAAACAACTGACCTGAAAAATAGATTGACAGAAAATTTAAGAATTATTAGACTCTGGATGTCACAACCAAAACCAAAACAACAACAACAAACAAACCTAGATATTCCATTCCAAGAAATCTCAAAAGAACACTGTTCAGATCTATTATGGCAAAGTAGAAATAGCAAGAATCTACCAGTTTCCTGAAAGAAACTCCAAAATGAAAACTCTCAAGATCATGATAGCCAAAATCCAGATCTTTCAGGTCGGAGGTTCCAAATCTATTTGGACTACTGCTCTCTTTTAAGAAAAAAAAATTTACTCAGCACTCCACTGGAAATCTACTTTTTAAAAAAAATTCTTTAATGTTTTTCTTTGAAATTTGCATCATTTTGAAAAAGTACAAAATATTTTGTAATGATGCATCTTAAATTAGATAATTGTAAATTTGTGGGTTTTTTCCTGCATTGAAATTTTGGTGATGCGGTATTGCATCATGTAATCATATCGTATTGTAAAGAAGTCATTACACACACATATTACTGCCAGTGCATGCTGGACTTCCCAGCAATGCATAACACTCGTCTGCTAACACTTGCTTGTTAAGACCTGTTAGTGTACTTGACCACTGATCAGTTTTACTTGTATTTTGTGTTTATTTGGAAAATAATGTAATCACTACAACTTTTAACTCTTGTTACACAACAAATGAAATGTGTATGAATGGTTTTTCAAAATTTTCTTCTCTTCTTTCCTTATGTTTCCACCACCCCATTATTTTTATTCAGTGCCCCCCAATTGCACCTGAGGCTACTGCTGCTCCCCTCCCCCCCATTATTCCAGTGTGCCATAGGGAATGATATCACCCACTTTGGGAACTTCTGTTCCAGGTCAAATTAAAAAAAAAAAAACAAAAATAACCTTGTAGAGCCGGAAAGAAAGATTTCGAATATTGAATTGAGGAGCCACAATTTGGATCATAATTCAGCTGCCACCAATATAGGATGTGGGCTTGACAATTAGGAATAACTTATCCAGCTAAACTGAGTATAATGCTACAGAAGGAAAAAAAAAAAAGAAAGACCTTTAATGAAATAGAGAACTGCCAAGCATTCCTGATGAAAAACCAGAGCTTTGTAGAAACTTTGAAGTTCAAAACACAGGAATAAATAGAAACATGGATGTAAAGAAAAAGGTAAACCAAAATAATTAACTAAAGAAGGATAAATGGCTTGTATTCAAATATGCGGAGATTATATATATATATATATATATATATATGTCTGGACTCTATCATCTTCAGGGGTCACAGAGGGAGTCTAATTAGAAAAGGCCTGGAAGTGATTCTTGTCTTCAAGACATGTCTTGATGATCTTAAGAATGGAAAGAGGTAAAGAGGAATACAGTGGTGAGGGAAAAGAGAAGATTAGGTTAAAAATTTATCTCATATAATTAAGGTACACAAGTAGAAGTATATACAAAGAGAAGGGAGGGGATAGGGAGAGCGGCTGACACTTCATCTCTCATCTGAACTGGTCAAAGGAAAGAATACACACATATTTCACTCAACAGGAAAATAGGAAGGGAAGAGGGAGGGAGGAATTAGAAGAAGGGTAGGTTAAAGGAAGGATTAGTTCTAAGCAAAACAAACGAAGGATGTACAAAAAATATTTTCTCTCTTTGGAGGTGTAAAAAAAAAAAAGGGAGTTTGAGGGAGTGCCAATCAGTTGGGGGATAGATGAGCAAGTGTGATGGAATACTATCGTTGCTTAAGGTTGGCGTACCCTTGATGGTTCTGATCTGGGGCATATTCATTATGCTGCTGGTCCAAGATTCACACGCTTTTGAGGCCAGTTGATGATCAGAGCAGCTTAGCTCCATGTTCCAGGTTTCTTAGCTAGATTCTCACAAGTCTGGCTGGGATTCCTACTCTTACACATAGCTTCAGGGCTTTCTTCACTAGCCCCTGGTACTAGCTGGAATGTTTCACTATGCTGTCTCCCATGTTGGACTTTTCTGTCTAGACTCTTCCCCTAGGGCCCACAGGCTTCTCCCTAGGTTGACATGCTCTGGCAAGATGTACCTACTGTAGCGTACCCCTGAAATTCTTGACTATTTTGGCTCATTGTTCTTTTTTTAAAACTTTGTTGGAGTACCTGGTAGAGACAGGCTGTTCTGCTTCTACGCAAACTGACACCTTGAAGAGGGTCCCTTCTTGTTTGGGCACAAGCTGGACTAGGTGCCTCTGAGAGTCCTTGCAAGTCTGATATTCTATATGTTGAGTTAGTATTATTTTCTTCACTTCTTGAACAACTTTTTTGGATACTTAATAATCAGCTCAGGCTTCAAAAAGTATTTTCTTCTCATCTATCTTAGTCACTCCAGAAGTCATTGGATTTTTGAGATTTTTCTCCCCAACTTCATCTAGGTTTTTTCTTAGCAACTTGCTGTAAACCTTGTAGGGATTTCCTTCTGATAACATGGGATTTTTTTTTGTTGTTGTAGGAGGAGATTTTAAAAATCATCTTTTCTTAATTAAATCTTGGATTTTCAAGATTTTAGTATATGTTTGTATGCAGAACAGAAAGTTGGTTCTTCTGTTTAGAGAGGTAATAGAATACAAAGCTTAAAGTGAAAGTAGAAGAGAACAATATAGAAATGAAATTAATGTTTGTGGCTAGGAAGGAGTGGAAATAAAACCTGGTAATACCTATTTTGCCTTGACAAAGTGTAAAGAATGAGAGCCTACCATAAAAGCAGGGCTTTAATAGCATTAATTGGGACCACAGAAAAGAGGAAGGAATGAATTGGACTTGCTTCCATATAGCTTAAAAGAAAAGTGTTAGCGCCATTTGAGATTTTTTCTGTCTGGTTTCAGTTATGAGGCCAATGAAAACTAAAAAGTTCTATTTCAGATTCCTGCTACGGAGCACATTCACAGATAAGTACAGAAGACATACTAAATAAACTGAGTGGTTAGAGGTAGAGGGGAACTGACCAGGACAAGTGCTTAAGGAGAGAGCCCTTGAGCCTTGGAGGGACTTCAGGAAGGGGAAGGGAAGGAGAGCATTCCAGGCATGCTTCACCCAGGCCCCTGCTTGGCTCAGGCCCTTCTCCCATATCACCTGGACCTGTCTTAAGGCTCCCTCCACTCCATCCACTCATCCTTTGAAGTGTCTCACTCTTCTATTCAATAAACCCCATTGGCTCCCTCTTACCATTGGGATCAGATAGAAGCTCTTAACAGCTTTGCCCATCCTCCTTTCCAAGTCTTCCCGTTACTCTCCTCTTCATGCACTGTGCAGCTCACTCATACTGGTTTGCCTGCCTGCTCCCCTTTCCATGTCTTTCAGTGGTGTCTTCCATCCTCTGCACCTCATGGAACCAAAGGTTTCTTTTAGGACTTAATCAGCTTAGGTTAGTTGTTGGGTGGGTGTGGGTATGTTAGTATCTTCCCCTTTGTGTCAGCTAGGTGTCGCAGTGCCTAGAGTCAAGAAGCCCTGTGTTCAAATGCAGCCTCAGACACTTACTAGCTGTGTGACCCTGGGAAAGTCAACCTCTGTTTGCTTCAGTTCCTTTTTCTATAAAGTGGGGATAATAGCACCCACTTCCCAGGGCTATTCTGAGGATCAAATGATAGTAGGTGTTATGTAAATGTTAGCTATTATTATCATTATTGCATCTGTTTTGTGTCTTGTATAATCCTGTATATGTACTTGTTATTTCCTGAGAGCAAGCATACTCAGAGCATAGCACAGTGCCTGGCACATTGTAGGTGTTGTATGAATGTTAGCTGTCATTCTCCCCCACCCCCTGCACACGCCTCGGTTCAGATTACTCCTCATCCTCTGTGTTTTCTCTTTTGCTTCCTTGTCATCTAGGGAGGACTGAGTGCCTTTAGCACTTTTCCCAGACTCCTCTGTTTGGGTTGTCACAAGCCACAGACTACAAATGAACGGTTTTAAATTATAAAGATAGTAGAATGATATCACCCTTTATGACTGCTTTAGACTCGGTATGTCCCATGCTTATTTAACAGCAGCATCACATTGCTCAATATTAAGCAGTTTACATGTGGCTCATTACAGTCACCTTGGTGCTTTTGGGTTTTTCCCCCCAAAGCTGTCATAGAGGAGGATATTCTTAAGCATGAAGTTCAACCCTTGTCCCTACAGGCTCCATTGTTCCCTGATGACTTCTTCCGTGGCTTTAGATGCTAATCTTAGAGTCAGAAAATTTTACCTTTTAAGGGACTGTAAAGAGAATTTCACTTGCTTTCCCCATTTTAGACACAAGCACCCTGAGGTCCCCGGCAATTCAGTGCCTTGGCCAGGATTCCAGATGTTCTTCATGATAACCTCACAAATCTGCCACATTATGCATCTTCTTATAAACCAGACTTCTTTCCTTGCCTCTCCCTCCTATCCTGCCACCCTTTTTCCAGATCTGTGATGAGTTCCCTACGTCTCCGTCTCTGGGGGCACAGGGTAGTTCTGGTCTTTTTTACTGCTGGGTTCCTTATCTAGCTAGACCTGCATTTCTGTGAATCTCTGTCAACAAGAGTAACCCAGTGTAAATGAAGGGTGCTTGGCCTCTCACATGTGAGGGACTTGATGCTGAGGACTGACTGTGTCTCTGCTTGGTTCAGTTCCAGAAGCTGTAAAGGCCGCTGCTGGTACAACGCCAACTCCTGCTGCTGCTGCCACCGCCACTTCCAGTGCTGCTGTGAAGCAAGAGTCTGCACACAAAGCTACATCCCCTGCCACAAATGCTTCAGAAAACACCGGCTCTACAGAGCCGCCCAAGCTCTCAGGCCTCGGTCTTGATGGCATTTCTTCAGACCAGTTAGCAAAGGTCCAGGAAACAGCTGCGTTAGAAGGATGTGCAGAAGAAAACAGTGACAGTGGAGGAGAAGGCCAGTACAGGGAACGGGATGAATTTGTTGTGAAGGTAGAAGACATCGATAGCCTGAAGGTAATCCCGGGCTAGGAGAACCTGGATATGCTCCTTTTTAACCTCATTGGAATAACTTTAAACAAGATATTATAGTAGATCCCCACTTGGCTTCCCTGCCTCCAGTCTCTTCAGCTCACCTCTCTGCCAAAATAACTTTCCTCCTATGGAGGTAAGACCAGGCTACTCCCCTGCTTACAAGCCTTTAATGGCTCCCTGTTATTTTAGAATAAATTCAAACTTTTTAGACTGGTATTGAAGCTTTTCCAGTCTGACTTCAGGCTACTTTTCTGGCCTTGTTTCACATTGCTGACCATTACACACTCTGTTCCAGTCGATCTGGACTAGTAGTTAGGTCCCACAGCCTCTTCCTTTTTTTTCCTTTTATCTCCATTTAAAGTTTTTTTTTTCCCTTCAATTTCCTTTCCTTCACCTTCCCCATGAAGCTTTCCCTGATTTCCTTTCTCTTCAGGTTTTCCTTAAGCACTTGGTTATCTCTCTTTTGCCCTTAACAAGAGCACCTTGGGTTGTACCTATTTGTGGTCTATGTCCCACCCTCCCCTTCATATACACATTAGATAAGATTCTTGAAAAGAGACTCCATAGTTTTTCTTTTTTTTATCCCCAGCACCCAGCAGTTTCTAACACTAGGAGTCACTTAGTAAATATTTGTTGAATTCAGTTGCATTCCAGATATTCTAAGTAATACAAAGGCTTATTTTTATCCCTTCACTTTTTAAATAGCTAAATGTGTCATTTTATTCTTTGCAATGCTTTCCATTTTGTCAAAAATATAATCAAAATAATGAACTAAATGTCATTTAAAAATAAAAGCACTTAAGAAATCTGAATTTCATCTTAGTTCCTTGCTAACTGTAGCTTGGCATAGTTTAGGTTACCCAGTTATATTTTTGGATAAATTCCTTTCGCAAGGTGACATGCATTATGTGATGATATCATTAATATGATGGTTTATTTTGTTTAACTGTGCTTCTTTGTTGTATGGGAGAGTTGAGGGGAAGGGAGTGGAAGGGACTGGGAAATGACCACAGTGGCTTTTTTTTAAGCATTAATAAAACTTAAAAAAATACTGTTGGGAATATACAAGACTGTGGTGTAGTGGATAGAGGGCCAGAATGGAGTTCAAGTCTTACCTCAGATACATACTTGCGTGACCATGAATGAACATGTCACTTAGCCTCAATGCTCCAGACAGAGCTCCTTTACCATGAGTCCCCTATACCAATGAAATCATAGGTTCCTGCTAGGGGAGAAAATATGTACGTGTAAGTGATCAGAATTTGTATAAAGTATTTATAAACTGTAAAATTCAAATAAAAATGGCTATCGCATGGAAGAGAGATCCAAGTAGTATTTGATAGGTGAGAGTGGTTAGCATCTAATGATAATCTTCTGTCTCTAAATGTACAATGTCATTACGTACCCCAAAGTAACGCACTGTGGCTCCTTAAAGACCAGTGTGATAGAAACTACGAGGCAGATTTCCACTAAAAACAAAGAACCTTGACAGCTAAAAATTCAGTAGACTTTCTTTTTAAGTAATAAGCTCCCAAGCAGAAGCCAGATGACTCATCTATAAAGAGAATGGTGGAGGGGTTTTCTGTATTAGGTGGGAGGCTAGACTACTTGACTCTTGAAGTGATTTTCCAAATTCTGTGAATCTGAAAATCAAGTCATCTATTTTGATTTAATTCTGTGCCTTACAGGCAGCTTTAAAAACAGGTAAAGAACCACCAGCCATCTGGAAAGTACAAAAAGCTTTATTGCAGAAGTTTGTTCCTGAAATTCGAGACGGTCATAGAGAGTTTGCTGCTACTAATAGTGTAAGTAGAATCAACATCTACCAATTTTGGATGGTCATTGCTCAAGAAAAGTTATGGATGACAGGCAGCTAGGTGGCGCAGTGGATAGAGCACCAGCCCTGGAGGCAGGAGGATCTGAGTTCAAATTTGACCTCAGACACTTGACCCTGCCTAGCGCCCCGCCCCCCCCCCAAAAAAAAGGAAAGTTATGGATGAAACTCAAGATTATTTTCTACGGTTTACATTTCTGCAGGAATTGTAGTAGGATTTTCTGAGTTAAGATAGAATGAAAGCACCTTACACCTTTTTCTACTGAAAGCATGACAATAAGACTTGACAAATAAACTTTTTTATTTGAAGAATGGTTACAGAAGTATATTATGTTTTCTTAAATATCTGAACAAGCAAGTGACAGTGGCCATCTGGGTGTTGTGTCACACAGGAGAATTCTGAGGTTCTCTCTGTTGGCTCATAGAATGGTGAGTGTGTCCCTAACTAATAGCACCTTCCTTCCCAGCCTGAAACAAGCCTGATCAACTTTAATTACCCCCTTGGTAAGCTGCATATGAGCTTTTAACTACTGAAAAGGAAAGATGCCGTGTTTAACATCTGATCAATGTTCACTGAAGTAATTTAACATTCTTCATGAGTTTAGTCTGTTTTTTACAAAGCCGTAAGTACAGTCATGTAATTTGGACTCTGTGTTTTTCCTCAGTATCTTGGATATTTTGGGGATGCAAAGAGTAAATATAGACGGGTATATGTAAAGTTCATCGAAAATACCAACAAGAAGGAATATGTCAGAGTATGCTCCAAAAAGCCAAGAAGTCACCCTTTACCAACTTCCAGGTACTTCTCTTCTTGCTTTAGTGTTGGTGAGGGCCTGTCATTCATGATGGGGTGCAGAGAATGAATATGAGACTTTTAAGTTCTAATTATTAAGACTGAAAATTCAGTCTTAATGCATATTGAATAAATTGTTGCTGAGGGCACTATAACAGACAACGGCTCTCTGTGGTGGTATGGGCCCCCCTGGGATCTTGTGTGCCATTGATTGGTACCACCAGGTGAGGAGTCTGAATCTCAGGACACTAGTGTAATTCTAGGTTTCTGGAACTGTTCTAGGTGTTAGGATTTGGAACAAGACAAAACAAGATAAGCTTTACCTTGTCATCTAGAGAATGCCTCAGAACCAATCCAGAGCAGAACTGTTCAGTAGCCATAGGCTCCATGACTTTCTCCCCCAGTCTGTGGCCATCCAGGTCCTCATCCTCAAGCTCTCAGAGCCCCTGAGGGTCCGAAAGCCAGGTGTGACATGACCTGTCCTTGTGTAAGCTTCTGGGAGTTAGGTGTGCCCCAAAAGGAGCTGAAGGATGAAAGAGCTGGGATAATTAGTCCTTTAACTGCATGCTGAATAGAAATGGTGAAGAGAACTATAATGAGGAAAGCTTTGGAGTCATTGTTAGAGATATTATGGCCTAGATCAGAGTCCTAAAGGTGATGAAATCCATCCTGCTCAGTACATTAAGATCACCTCTGGGGGTGTCTTGAGTTTTCTTCCTAAGTCATTTGACAGAACTGGTGTTAACAAAATGCAAATGCTTCTAATTTTGCAGAGCTGTTCATTCTAAACCAAGTAGCAGCAGTAAAGTTCCTGATCCGCCAGCACCAAAAACAACAAAAGTCTCTTCTGTAAAATCCAAAGCTAAGCAGCCAAAGATGAAGGCCGAGCCACCACCAAAGAAACGGAAAAAATGGAAGCAAGAGCTGGAGTCTTCCCAGTCTGATTCCTCACCTGAAATCCGTACTAGTGGCAGTGAGGAAGAGGGTGAGTGGGCAGGGGATGTCCAGCTAACAGCGCCACAGAAGCTGCAGCTCTTCAAAGGATGTTTAAAAGGGTCTATTCTAAGAGATTCTCCTCCAAAATTAGATTTATTATAGATGATAGTAGTGCCTACTGTATGCCAGGCACTGTGCTAAGCGCTTCACAGATACGATCTCGTTTGGTCCTCATCACAACCACCTTGGGAGGTAGGTGCATCGTTATCTCCATTTGACAGATGAAGATTGAGGCAGAAAAATGTTAAGTGACTTGCCTGGGGTCTTCATGTCTGAGGTCAGATGTGAACTCAGGTCTTCTTGACTCCAGGCCTAGAGCTCTATTTACTGAGCCCTCGGGCTGCCTCCTAGAAACTCTGAAAACCATCAGTGCATTTAATACTTTCAGCTGTTTTTGACTGACAGCTATTACCGCTAGTCTTCATGACAAGGTCCTCTCACCTCTCTTGGCTTCTGAGATAGACACGGTTGGGGTCTCTTTCCTTGCGCTTCTGTCTGCTCGCCTGGGTGGCTGTTTCTCCTTCTCCCTTTGCAGTCTTTTACTCCCAGATTTAGATCTTGTGCCCTTTCTTTTCTCCTTAATCTAAACAAGCACCTACTTACATACCTTACGGGGACCTCAAACTCAACATGTCAAAATCCAGAAATCTGTTCCTTTTCGCTTTACTCTGTCACCCAGTTTCCCATGTTTCAGACATCAGTTTTATTTTTTGACTCTTCATTTTTCCTGTCCTCTCATGTTCACTTAGACCTGGTTCAAATCCCATGCCTGACACAGCCTATGTAACCTTGGACAAAGTACTTAATAATTAGAATCACTGGCATTTTATATAGCACTTTAAAGTTTGCAAAGTGCTTTACAATGTCTCATTTGATCCTCAACCACTCTGGGAGGTAGGTGATATTATCATCATCCCTATTTTACATGTTGAGGAAACTAAGGCAGACAAAAATGTTACATAATCATAAAGTGTCTGAGACCAGATGGTCTTCCTGACTCCAGACACCCCATGTAGACATGGGGTTCATCCATCCCATGAAGAGTTAGCCTGGGTAGTCTCTGAATGGCCTCCAGTTTTAGAGCTTGTACCTTTATGAGGATCGGTGTGAAAACACCCCTTCCCCCCTATCTAGTGCCCCGGGCTCCACTGGACTGCAGGTTCTCATTCCCACCTGCCTTCTCACACCCTGAGAGCCAGCCTCTGTGGCCCACTGAGCCTCCCCAGGCTGACGCCCTGCTGCCTTTCTTAACTAAGCGTGTTCTTTCTCTTCTCATTGGCCTTTCCATACTGTCTGCCACAGTGAGGGCTCCTCATATGTGCTCCTGCTTCCCTGCCTTTAGAGTCTAGCTTATCTTCCCTGCACCCACAGACGCCTCTCACCTCCTTAGTTCCCAGGTCTCCTGGAACCCCCTGAAATGCCACTTCTTCTATGGCCTCTTTTCTGTGTCAGCCTCCCATCATGTTGATCAGGAACACATTCCTTGAGCAAAGCACTTTTTAAAAAAATTTAACCTTTGTTTCTAAAACTTTGAATGAAGAAAGCACCTTTTACCTATCTTACGCATTATTTTGTATTGTATCTACCCAGAAGTCCTGGAGAGCAGGAATCACATCTTATCTAAACTTCTTATCTCCTAGTAGCACCTAGCACAGTGTTCTGTATGGAGTAGGGGCTTAAGAAATATTTACGGATTTGAATTCCTGCGCTTCTGATAGCAGTGCCTGTGAATAAAATGAGTACTAAGAACAAGCACTGAATAGAGGATTTTTTATTTATTTATAATTTCCTATTATTTATAATAGGAAAATTTGGCTTTTGCATTTGTCATTCAGGGAAGGCATATGAATTAAAAACAATTTTTTTTTAAAGACAGAGTTTTTTTTTTCATCCAGGTAGCACAGTGGATAGAAGCTGGGCCTCGATGGAGTCAGGAAGACTTGTCTCCCTCAGTCCAAATCTGGCCTCAGATACTTACTAGTTCTGTGACCCTGGGCGAGTCACTTGACCCTGTTTGCCTCAGTTTCCTTATCTGTAAAATGAGCTGGAAAAAGAAACGGCAAACCACTCCAGTGTCTTTGCCAGGAAAACCCCAAATGAGGCCTGACATGACTGAAATGAGTCAACAACAAATCTGACTGACCACTAGATGTCACCATTGGGTAACACTAAATTTGTTCCTCCTCCTTTTAGGAAGGAAGCCGCTCATCTTAACCCTGAATTCCTAAGAAGTGATAATAAAGTTTTATATTCTAATGTAGACATTCACAATTGCTACCAGAAACTTGTCCTTTGCCTCTCAAATTAGAACACGTTTTTCTAGGAAATATCACTTTACATTTTCTTTCTCGTTTTTATGCGTTATGTGCCTATGCCAGAAGTTAAAGGGATGGCGAGGGAACAGAGCCACTCCTTGGTGTGGACACCACATGTGTGTCTCTGCCACCTCCATTGGAGTTAAAGGTACAGTGCCAGGTTATTATCCCATTGGAGAATTCCTGGAAGGCAGCAGAAGAGACTACACAGTGGTAGTGCCCCCAGGGTCACCCTAGGGGCCAGGGAAGCTCCAAGGAAGTCTCCTGCAGCCTTTGTTCTACTTTTTGTATCTTGTATTTTGGTTACTTGAACAGTAATTGTAGGATTTTTGAGGTGAATAATAGTGTATTTCCATTTTTACAATAATGTATCTGTTTTCTAGAATTTGACCCTCCTGCTCCTTCCGTCCCCCGTTTTTTGAACACAAGGGCTATGAAGGAAACCTTTAGGAGCTACGTAGAGCTGCTTGTGAGCATCGCCTTAGACGCAGACACGATGCAGGCCTTGGAGAAGAGCAATGGTATGTGCTGATCACTGAGACTTCAGGCACATTAGTGCTCTTATTGAGGGCAGAGGGCATGTGCAGAATCTGCCCTCTCAGCCAGCGAATTCCTTGTGAGAGTTATTCTGTTGAACAAATGGATTGAGTACTGCCATTACAGTAGGAAGAAGCGATGATGCATTTTGACTACTTTTTAGATAATTTTACTGCAAACATTGAACAGTTCAGTCCTAGATTCTTTAGCCCGAAGTTCTCCAAATAGTCTTAGACTGCGAGGTAACATACGCAAAGAAAGATACAGCCTAGTATACATTAAAAATGAAGAACAAGTCATTCTAGAATTTTCAGCTAGAGTTTCTTTCATACACTTGTGTTGTTAAATATGCCATAAATGACAGAAAATTATTTCAAATAACTGAGCCTATCCTGACACTGTCTACATAGGTATAATCATAAAAAACAAGAAAGAATTCCAAGTTAATTGTAATGAAATGTAATTAGTATCTAATTATCCAATTCCTTCTGTGGGCTATTTCTTTTTTATTTTATTCTATTTTTTCCCCCTTAGTGTATGCCCTAGCTTAAATATGTCACATCTAAAATTTGTAGAGAGCTTAATGATCTACTTTGAATATATCATAGATATCATCCTGTCCAGCTGAGGCCCAAACCTAACTATTAACAAAGTTGGGGCTAGAACCCAGGCTTTGGAAAACCCAGGCTGATGCTGTTTTCCTAGTACATGAGTCAGTAGCAGGAAAGTAAATTCATTGCATTTCTGTTTGAACTCCAGCTTCCAAAGACACATGTGAACTGTGACCCTTAGATGATGTCTCAAGTTAATTATTTACTTTTAAAAATTACTAAGTCTTTGAAGGTATTTCTGGACTTGACCCAAAAATGACTGATTTGGGGAGTTTAGTTTTTTTTTTTTGTTTTTTTTTTTGCTTTATCCCAGGCAGACCATAGATTCAGAAGAACTTAGTTTGAGGACTCTGCCACTGAATAGTTTTTGGGTATTAGGCAAGTGACTTAAACTCTCCCAGCCTCAGTTTCATCATCTGTAGAACAGAAGTAGTAATACTTGCATTGTCTCCTTCTTAAGGTTGTTTTGAACATCAAATAAAGATTGCTTATGAAAAGGTGCTTTGAAACCATACCATGCATTATGATGTGAGCTGTTGTGGCCCCCTCAGAAAGGGTGTAGTACTGATTCCTTTCATAGCACAGGTGATTAGGGCAGAGAGAGATCACAGAGGTCTTCTCATTCGGCAGGTGTCATGCCCCCCCCCTTTTTACAAATGATCCAACTGAGGCTGAGGGAAGTTGAATGACTTCCCCTAGGTTGCACATCTCAGTGGTGATGAGACTGATTTCATGATTCCAGATGAAGTAATCTTTCTGCCACACTCTGGTGCCTCTTTCATTTGCTTCATTATTAGAAATGCTTCCAGAGTTTTCTTTCCATACCTTTGACAGAAGTTGGACACTATGGGTATGCAACATTGCACCTAATGTCCTTTGGATACAATAGCTAATTCTGTTGAGTTTTTTTTCCCTGTTTTTTATTATTAGTTATAAGGGATAACTCTCTGGGATGTGGAGAGGGAACTATATACATTTAGTAATTAGAGATGTAAAAGCAAATTAGATAAAACCTGATTTTTTTTTTAAGGTTTACCTTCCATGTTCTTTAAGGATAGTCAATGTCAGTCCTTAATTCTGAAAATTGGGAGTTGACTCATTTAATATTTTTCCTTGAAGCTTGTGTATTTTAAATATTTCAGTATATTGCATATTTTAAAAATTGATTATTCAGTATTTCCTGCTTAATACATTTCTCCTTTAACGATATTAAATTTTGATACTATTTCAGATGAGCTACTTTTGCCACATATGAAGAAAATTGATGGTATGCTGAATGACAATAGAAGACGACTTCTTCTGAAGCTCCATTTGGATCATTCACTTAAGGTATTTCCTCTCGCCAAGTTGGATCTATGCCTGTTGAAAGAGCAGATTTGTAGTGGGACCTCTCTGCTGAGAAGGCAGCTTCTGCGTTCCCCAGGAGATTCGTGTTCAGTTTTAATGATTTTCCTAAATGAACGTTTCATGATAAAAATCTTTTATACCTATATGTATACATAGCCACCTGTGTAAATGAAGTGCTGACAGCTCCGGGGTGTGTGTGTGCTTCTGTGTGAGAGCATGGGTGCACCTGCTCGCTGGGGCACGTGTGTGAGATCTCATTGACTGGGGAGCACCTGTGGAAGCGTACACTAGTCCCTGCACCAGTTTGTCATCTTGGAGTTGTCTCTGCCAGATGCCAACTGAGACGAGCTAGCTGCCAGTCTTCAAGGCTCCCCGTGTGTTTTCCCAGTGAATCCTCCCAGCAGCCCTGGGAGGTGGGGGCTATTACTATCCCACTGAGGCTCAGAGACATTGAATGGTCTCCCCAGGGTCATGCAGTGAGTGAGTGTCTGAGGAGATTTTTCAGGGTGCCTAAGCCTGGCTGGGTCAGAGATAGGACTTGGGGCAAAGAAGTGGGCTTGAGGTCCCTTCTCTGCCCACTGAACATTACTGCTCCTTTATAGGGTGTCTGTGTCCTTTAACTACTGTTCTGGTTTGACCATAAACTATACACCTTTGGTAAGATCTCTCTGAAAGGAAAGGAGTTTTACAAATTTTCACAAACCTGTTGAAAGGTCAATGTTGCCTTTACTCTGCAGGTGCTTTTCCTGCACCTCCTGGTTCCCCACTGGAGACAGCCCTGCTGTTGAGAGTAAAGGGAGGCTGGGGCTTTTCCCCAGGGCATTGTTTTTCAGGCCCTCACACAAACTCTCTTTTACCTCGTACTTCCCCAAAGAGCAGCCAGGTCTGCAAAGCCATGAATGGGAAGGTGCTGCCTGGGGAAGCTGCCAGGCCACACGCAGAATCAGAACCTGCTTATTACACGATGTGTTCATTAATGTATCACATGATGTTCATTTAACTTACACCTTAACAACAAAAAGAGAAGTTTCTTTTAAGCTAAGGTGACTTTGCAATCAATGTAGCGGCGTTTTCCAGACTCCACCATGCTTAAGCACAGTCACCTGGACTAACCCTTTTGAGAGCTGATTGACCAGCAGTCTCATCACTTGGCCGAGTATGTTAAACTTCCACAGCAGGTCTGGAAGTTCTTTTATTTTCACATTCAGTAGTTGAGTTGTGTATGCTAATTTCACAGAATGGAAAAAAAATACATTTTAAAAGGAACCTGCAGTATAAGAAGCTGTCAAGACAGCTTAATATTTTTAAATAGAAAGCTCCTAATTAGCTGAAATGGATGATTCTTGTCTAAGCTAACTTTAAAGATAGTGTAAAAGTTGGCAGAATGCTTTTTAATTTTTAAAATATAGCTGCAATACCAATTTCATATGCATTTGAAATAAATACTTTTCACATCTTCCCAGGATAGTCTTGTTGAACGTTTGGGAAATCAGTCCTGTAGCATTGTTTTCTTTGCCTCAGGAAATTTGTTTCAGATGTCTTTTGATAGCCTGGATTTATAGAAAAGGTAATTTGAAAGTTGTCCTTTTGTCTCTATGTAAGTGCAAAATTCATTGCTTCCAGCTTTGTGTAGAATCAGCGGTTAGTCTTCAGATTTCTTTTTTATGTTGGTTGAAAGGAGTGATTGTATTCAGAAATAATTTAAGACAGGGAATGCATATTAAAAATGAAAAGCAGTACAGTAATTCCTGATAAAAGAACACACTTTAAAACTATAGGGACTAGGAATAATTGGTCGCTAAATTATTGGTAGCAAAGAATCATATTGTTTAGTGAAGATGAAACTTTGTCTCGTTATTTCTCAAGGGAAAGTATGATTCATATGGGAAAAAATACATGCCCATTGTGTTTTCAGGAGCACAATTCTAGGTATTTGGAAACACGTAAGTGTCTGGATAAGAGTCCTTGCATTCTAGAGCTGGTGTGGTGGTGTGTAAGCGCTAGGTTTATCAGACTAAATTGTGAATTGTGCATGTATTTATAATTTGGAATATTTCATCCCTTTACTCTGACAGTGGTAAACTTGATGGTGTATAGTTTTGTGCTCATTAGCATTCTCTTAGTCACTCTCTGCAGCCTTCCTTTTCATTCCTAGTGGGAATGAAAGGGTGCAGAGTTGTGATCTCTCAACAGTGATAAGGTATTTTTTGAACAAATATTCAAAACTATATAGAGATTTAATTTGTATTACATGTATAAATATAGAGGAATAGAGTATCTTAAGATCATAGAATTTAGAGCTGGAAGGGAATATCACCCAGTCCACAAGTGAGACATGCACTTACTTAAGATCCCACAGGGAAAAAGCAGCAGGGCTGGACCTGAAACCAGGACTTCTTGACTCCCCTTCTGGGGCTCTTCCCATTTTGCCACACTGCCTGGTTGTGTGTGAGGGGGGCCTAGAACACCTGTTGGTTGTTGATTGTTTTCTAAGACACTTTTCCTTCTGGAAGTATGAGTGAACCTCGACAAGAAACAACTGTTAATAATCACCAGCCGGATTCTCACCTCAGACATCAGACATATAAAAGCTTACACTGGATCTCATGTTCTGCATAGACCCGAAGCAGCCTATTTTATTTTCTTTCCAGTAGAGTTGGTCCTCCTGTGTCCCCATCCCGCCATTTAAAAAACTATATATTCTAATGCCAGCCTTCAATGTCTTCAATTCCATTTTTAATTGATTTTTTAAAAAATATTGATTGTTTCCTTCAGACATTATTTTGTCTTTCTCTTTTAAAGAATGCTTTGGAAAGTTTTCCTGAACTAACAATAATTACTCGGGACTCTAAAGTGAAAAGTGGAGGGTCTGTTTCTAAAATCAAAATGAATGGCAAATCTTATAACAAGAAAACACTTAGGACTTCCAAATCAACCACTAAATCAACACAGGTAAGTGTCATGTGATTTTGAACTGTTTTCTCCTCTTATCTCTACCATAACTGCTCCCCCCTGCCATTAATCCTAGTTATACTGTACACCGTCATGACCCAAAAATGTCCCTTCCCTCCAAGATGCTTAACTCTAAAATTCCCTTTTCTCACCCCTCCTCTGTCCTTCCACTGCCTGACTCCCACTAAGCTTATTTATCACCATTGATACGTCCTTTTCTCCCAGTTTGACCAATTTGCCCTAGATAGACTTTTTAAATAAGCATTTATTTTCTCTCCCTTCCCCTGAAGAATTTTAAAAAGCAAACCTTATAACATGTCCATCAAAAATTCCCACGCTGGCCACATCCAAAAAATGTAGGTCTCATTCTGCATACAGGAAGTAATAGGTTTCATCTTTAGTCCTCTGGAATCATGATTTGTCATTACAGTGATCAAAGTTCTAAAGTCTTTCAAAGTTGTTTTTCTTTATATAATGCTATCGTCATTATATAAATTGTTTTCCTAGTTAGAAGTTTTCCTGATTTCCTTTGAAACTATCTATTTCATCATTTATTATAGTACAGTAATATTCCAATATATTAATATAATTGTTTAGTCATTCCCTAAAGATAACTATGTGTTAGTCTCCAATTTTAAGCCACTCTCTTAAGGGCTGCTATGAGATGTGAGATGTTGGTCTCTATCTGATTTTAGCCAGACTAATTTTTAGTTCTCCCCTCGGTGCTTGTCAGACAATAGTACCTCTCATCAATAATTAGGGTTTGGGGTTTATCAAACACTTTGATGCTGCATTCATTTGCTTCTTTAAATTCACTTTCTTTCCTTCACAGTCTTCATAAGCCATTTCAGTAATGCTGTCTTCCAAACATATATCTGTCCCTCTGGCAGTGTTCTTGCTCCCCCAGTCCTCAGACCTGTGTCCTCTTCACCATCTACTTTCTTAGCAGTGCCTTACAAGCTCTAGATACAAATAAGGAAGTCATGAAAATTTGCTGTTTTCTACATGTTCCCCATAGGGGCTGTTTCAAACCTTCTCACCCCCTCAGTTCTAATTTCACAGGTTCCTGTTTTGAGAAAGAGTCAAAACTGAGGCCCCCTCTTGTGAGCTCTTTTCCTCCTCATTTCCCCTCTTCTACCCTTATTCCCTTCTTTACTCCAAGAAGAACAAAGTGATCTTATTCCTTGGCAAAGCAAACAATGGAGTGTTGGTACCTTCCTTCTCATCTCCTCGGTGAGTTCACTTCGTGGGCCATATCCTCCTCCATTTGTAGCTGGCCACTAGATGAAGGATTGGGTTTCATTCTCGATGTGAACTAGCAAGCAGTGTTCTTAATTTGCGTGCGTTCTGCCAAATCTCCCCCAAGTCAATCAATTCCAGAATTGAAGTTGAGAGTTTGATTCAGTATTTTTATAAAGTATTCTTGTGTCAAGTGCTTATTTGTTCAGTGAAATATATCATTAAATTATTTTTTATAGGAGTTTGCTGTAGATCCAGAAAAAATACAGTTGTGTTCTTTATATCATTCTCTTCATCATTACAAATACCATATTTATCTGATGTGCAAAGAGGAGGTAAGTGCCTATTAATTTATTTCTGTTATTCACTTGTAAATTATGCTTTTAAAAAATTCATCTGCTTTAACTAAGACTACAGCTAATAATGGTGTCTTTTAGTATAATTATGGTGAAAAAGCCATAAAATATGTACTTTGGAGTTGTCTTTGGTTAATGGATACTCGTAATTCTACCTTTTGTCCCTTATTTTGCTCAGACTTGAACCCCTCTATGTCTAATTGCTTTATGCTATCATACATCCTGATGTGTGCCATTTCCAAGCTCCTAGGTGCCGTTAATTGCAATACAAATTATGCGTCACTTTTTTCTGCTCACAAGTGAGCATTTTCAAGTTGGCCTGTAGTAACTGCTTTGACAGTAGTCTTCCTTTTTCAGTACTTAAACTAGCCTAACTCAGGATAGTTATAATGAATATCATTTTATTGCCATGAAATGAATATGAATTAGCATTTAGATAGAGTATGTTGAACTTGCTAAGAAATCACATATACAGTAGAAAGTGGAACCCAGTAGATGGGATGTTTATAATACCTGTAACATATTACTGAGTGATCCTAGAAGAGCTTTAACTAATTTTATCAGATCGGGCTATATTTATCAAGTATGTGAAGTACAATTAAAGTCCAACAGTGATTTGAGAAAAAAATGATACTTGGGGAATTTTTATACTAAAGACTGGCTTTGAAATTGGCAGCTGCCTTTTCCATTGTGACTTAACACATTTAGGAGGAGATGAGGAATTTTGGGGGCTCTTTAAAGAAATACTCATATTTCTCATGTGAAGCCCTAAAAAAGGGAAACCATTATTTCTCCCTGGACCATGATAAAGTGTTGCTCCTACAAGAATTAATATCCTTGGCCAAGAATGTGACAGCCACTGATTAGGGAAGGGAACCTACCATTGCACATTTTCTATTGTTGGAGATCACTTGGGTGAGAAAGCCTGTAAGACTCAAAAACCCTAATAAAAGTACAGATAAGAAGATTGCCACCTTCTGTGAGGCCAGACATAAATAGATTTGTCTTTTCTTCCAAGCTTGCCCAAAAGATTAATTGCTCAGTGTTGTATCCTTTTTTTAATTGGCCTAATCTGGAATAGTCTGTGAATTTTCGTAATCCACCATGAGTTTGGGATGCTAACATTCGTTTTCAAATATTTGAAGAATAAACCTTGGAGATACTGTAGTATTCAAAGAATATAATAAAGTCATGAATATAAACTAATGTGACAATCTTTCTCCTTCAGATTTCATCTGTGCAAAAAAAAAATGAAGATTTAGGACAGGAAGAAATTGTACAGCTCTGTATGAAAAATGTAAACTGGGTGGAGGACCTTTTTGAAAAGTTTGGAGAACTTTTGAATTTTGTCCAGCAAAAATGTTCATGACATTTTCCAAAATAATCATTTTTCTACATGCAGGAGGAAAAACAATTCAAAGAGCATTTCCAGTTCTTCAGACAATGCATACCTTCTTCACTTAGGGAACTTGTACCTTGGTTCCTGCTGAGGAAATTAGTCCTTTGTGAATGGACCTATAACACATTTTTATCCTGATGAATGATTTTTCTATTTTGCAAACTATTGGGTAACAGTTATTTTCAGAAATGTTCTTTGAAAAAACAATAAAGCATGCACTAAATATAATTCTTTATTGCTACAGAGAACACTTAAATACTTTAGTTTTTCTTGCCTCTGTCTAAACAACAGCCAGGGGTGAAAATAAGCATATATATTTGCATTTACATCTGGCCACCAAAATGAGAGTATTGTACATTCTATAAACAGCTAGTGTGTTGTGTCATTCTGTGAGAGAATATTGCCATCATCAAATTCAGAAACCACATTCTGCTGTATGGACTCCTTTTACTTGGAACATGTTCAGGAAACTGGATGTGGAATTGGTGCAATCCTTTGACTGCTTTTTGTGTCAAATTATATTGTAATGAAAAACAATGAACTATACTATTTTCCCTGTTTTGAAGAAAAGTATTTTCCTTTATACTCTGTTTTTCTTTGGAAAAAATTCAATTGTACATTTTATCTCACTAATAGTTGTATTTTTCACAGAGAAAATATTGTGGTTATAATTGTTTCATATATCTTTGTAATACACTTTGCATTGTTTCCAGTAAACCTTATTCATTTATATGTTGACTTCCTATTGTAAACTCTATCTTGAAGTAACTGATTTGTTTATACAGACTTGCTTCAGTGTTAACCAGAACATGCATTTAGTACTAGACTAGTTTAGCATCATAAATGTAGTTGTGTTAGACACTGCAGTTATTTTCTGACATAGGAAAATAAATTTCTTACTAAACTAGCACTTGATTAACTGATTTATTAAAATGAAAGCTTAACTATGGCTTACTTTCTGGTTAACAAATTGGTAATTGACTTGATTATTATATGCAGTGTTGAACACAGCTTACATCATTCTTAGAACTGGAAGTGGTGGAGTTCTCCTTTTGGTGCCTTTTCAACCTTTATACATGCTTTTTGTAGCTTTCTTTAGTTTTAATAGCTGACATTTCAAATAGTTCTGCTCAGACAGTGAATGTATTAGGTTCAACATGATATTATTTTTTATTTTTGTTTGCCAACAGGATGCCTTATTTGTTTGGAAGAGATTTCCCAGTGTCACTCAGCTATCTCCTTTTTTTAAGATTTTAAGAAATGGTCAACTACCATACTTTTGTTTATTTTACCACCATTTAGTGCCTTAACTCCTGCCAAGAATGCAGTCTATTGCTCAGTGCCCAAAAAAGGCATGGTTGTGTAGCCATTGCTAGTGTCTTGATTTTGAATTAACAGGCTAACATATAATACTTTAAAACCTCAGTAAATGTGGCTGAAAGTTGAAGATGACAAGCAATCTGATTTGTGTCAAAACACCTGTAGCACTGGGGGGAAAATCAGTACTTACTCTTGAATACTTATTCTGTTGTTTAAAGCAATAATACTTAAATGCTTATATACAATTGGACACAGGATAGAAACAATGTTTCATGACAAGACAAATGTTTTATTTCTGGAAGTTTCTTAAAACCTGGTTAGGTAGCTTATTACCATGAAAATAGTACATGGTATAATTGCTTATTGGACTCGTATCACCTGGACTCATATTTGAGAGTACAGAATGTCAGAAGCAGAAGCATCATGAAACTAATTTATGCTAAGTGAAGAAAGACACACATGTGGAGGAAGCAGCCATATTTCTCTCTTGTAGTACTGACTCTGGACAGAACCCATTTACAAAGCTCAAAACAGATTATATTGAGATGCTAAAAAGTAAAGACATATTAATATGCCATTATTCATAAACATAAGACTACATCATTCACCCAAATTAGCCTCTTTTAGCATTTCTAGTCAAACTTTTTGTTTCTGCATTTCAGGTAACACGACTCAAAGTCATCAAAATTATTTCATGATGTGCCCTTGAAAAGTTGAAGTGAGACGTTTTCCTCATTGAAATTAATCATGTGCTTCCTATCAAGACATCCATTTCACTTCTAGCCATATGCTTACAGCTTAGGCCACTTCAGTACAACAGGTGTACTATTTCCCACTACACGTAGAAAAACAAGATTAGAGGTTAGTTCTATTTCTGCAGTATGCTGCCCGTGGCAGGCCCAAGAATTCTAACTGTGACAACATCGCAGTCCTCAAATGAGCTCAACAACATAGGCAGCAGCAGCAAAGTTCCTCCTCTTAGATCCTAGGAAAAAGAACCGTAAGTCAAGCTTATAAATGAACTCTCCCTTGCTAACTAAATACAGATGTTACCGAGTACCAGTTCCTAACTTTTCTGAAAAGATGCTGATTACAAAGTTTATGATGGCAGCTCGAGTTACAGGGAATGTGCTGCTTGTCACCACAACATTTTGAAGATGAGATTTTCCTGTCTACACAAACCTGAAAGGAAAGAAATTGCACAAGACATTTCTGTGTGTGTGTGTGTGTGTGTGTGTGTGTGTGTGTGTGTGTGTGTGTGTGTGTGTGTGTTTATTTCAGATATCTGGCTGGAGAAGAGGTGGTGTTCCCACATACACTCCCTTCCCTCATCCTAGCCCAGTCACCTTTTTCTTGATCCTGCAGTGAAATAAAATTTTAATGGTTTACTAGTCATCATGGTGTGGTGACAATAACAATTGCTCATTATTTGCTTTTCATTGCAAGATCAAATAGGGAAGTCCTGGGAAGAAGAAAAATCTTAAGTATTTTTCATAAATTTGTAAATTCTCTCTTAAACTACAAAATCAAAAAGTGGTAATAGGTTAATTTTCTAAGATGATGTTTTCCTCAGCATGAAAAGTCTTCTGTTCAAAGAAAATAGAGTTCTCGAAACATACAAAAAAAGAATTTTTTTTTTGCTGAAAAAGCTGCTCCATTTTGAGCTGTGACTTTGAAGGCAGAGCCCCCTAAAAGTCAATGGAGCAGCAGGGTTTAAAGTGGTTGGTAACAGCTTTGAAAGCTGCTTCAGGTGTTTAAGTTCTAGAATGTTTATTGCGTCTGTATGGTTTAAAAGCTGTTTCTGCCTCTTGTAGCAGAAAGGCAGTTTGTTGAATAGAATGTAAAATCCCAGGATAACTGCTGCCAACTGCGTCAGTGGCACAGAAACAGTGCACCTAGCTGTGCATCATTGCACAACGTACGCCTTGTCGCATCAATGTTAAGTGCATGCTTTTGCATATCACCTTTTATTTATGTGACGAGACCTGAAATTACGGATACTAAGGAACCTTATGCATTTTTAGTCCAGAGTTTCAAGTGGTCCAGATACTATGTATGGAAATGTGAAGGGACAATTTTGTATAATACACATTTGATGTTACTAATTCATTAAAATGAAAGCAATTTTTAAACAATAAAACTGAAAATGTTCTGGGCATTTGTTTTTTCTTTTAAGTGAATTAGTTTTCTTTTATGAGTCTGAGTTTTTATATTACATTTAAAAAGTGAGTCGATTTAAAATTTTAAATTAACTGTCTTGATTTCAGTTTTATTAATAGCATAGTTGCAGTTTTATATTAGAAAAATTCACAACATTGAACTAATGTTGCTTTAAGTTAAAATGACCTTCAAAATCCTACTGCTTCCTCCTACCCCATGTATTTATCCCACAGGCATAATGAAACTTTGCTTAGCAATTTTTTTTTCACTTAAAGTAATACATAATTACAGCAATAGCTATATCACTTTTTTTAATGAAAATTTTAGTACCAAATCCATTTAATGGGTTTTGTTTTTTATGGTTCCTTGCTTTTCAAAGTAACAAATATAATCCCATTATAGGGAATAAAAGGTCTATTGAGCCACTGATTTTAAATTTTCACTGTTTGAAGAAATACTTTCCTTCCCTGTTTTGAAAGCCATTTAATAAATTTGGAAAATAACATTGCTTCTATTAGCCATAGCCATCTGATGAAAATGGACCAAAGAAATGTATCATGCAATTTATCTGCTTCACTTTGTTCAATTTTTAGAAGTCCTATGGTTTTAGGTTCCCTACCTCTAAGGTATTTTTAAACTGTCAGCTCTCATTTCTTGAGTGGATTGGACACCTTGGAGCTGGAGTTACTGACAGTTCTTATAAATTGCTTTGTTAGCCTCTAGTTCTGTTTCTTTTTTTCCTTCAGTTCCCCATCAGAAAGGTCTTTTAGGAAAATCTCATAGGAAGACTAACGGACTGTCAGAGGGAATTGAGGGCCTTGATGTTTGAAGGGCCTGAGCCACAAGCAGCAGAGCCAGGATTCTAATGCAGACTTTGATCTAGTCATCTTTCCACTTTGCCAGCCCTCATTCCATGAAATAACATGTATCAGCATGAGGAGTGAGCTGTGAATTCCCCAGGTTATAGGTTTGCAATGAATCAGGATGAAGAAACGGTAGTCTAAGGTGTGGTCTTCCCAATGTGTTAGATAATATCCGTGATCAGGCTAAAATCCAAAAAGATTCAAAAGCCAAATGCAAATTACTTAGGATAAGGGTGACCTTCAGAATGAAGGAAACACAGTTACGTTGAGGTAACTAAATACTAAGTAAAACAGACTGCATCGGTGATGTTGTGCTTGGGGAGTTTATGTGTGCTCTTAGTCCTTGTGCTTTCAGTTAGTGGCTCTGTCAAGGGCCCCCAAGTGAATGACTCTTAGTTTGATGCCTTGAGTCTCCCATCTCTAGTTCACAGTATCTGAACTGAAAAGGACGTCAGGGCAAACATTGAGTGCACCCAGACCTGGCACCGTGCAGCTCTTCAGAAGACTGAAATTTGCCTCTTGCAGTTTCTAGCCATTCCTAGTTGTTCTGCCCTCTAATGCCCAAGCAGATCTCCGACTCCTCTTCTGTATGATACGTTTCCCTCAGTGATCCACTCCCTCACTCCCTCCACGGCAGTCTCTTCTAAGCTAATTTTGATGTTGGCTTGCTTTTAGAATCTCTCTGGGGTTTATGCTTTTTCCTCTCCTCAGTTTCTGTTTTTGTTCCTTGATATTAAAAAATTTCCCCCAATCTGTTTCTTCCCTTTCTTCCACTTATAATTCATCCTATTCAGCTGCACTGTGTCCTCATACAAAATGCTAGCTAGGGACATAGTTGTTTCACCAACACTTAAAGGGGGACAGCATAGACAGTCACAGGAAAGCACCGGGCTGGGAAATGTGGCAGCTGGGTGGCCAAGTGGATAGAGCACTGGCCCTGAAGTCAAGAGGACCTGAGTTCATATTTGGCCTCAGATGCATGATACTCACTAGCTGTGTGACCCTAGACAAGTCACTTAACCCCAACTGCCTTGCCAAAAAAAAAAAAAGTAGTAGTAGTATATTGAGGGCCAGAACTGGAAAGTCTAAATATGGGATAAGGAATTTAGGTTAGAGCTTGACCGTTTTCCTTTTCCTACCCATAAGGGCTTAATTATCCAGATCCTTTGGCTCACCAACCTCCTGTGCCTAAAGGTTAGAACACTCTGACCCTTAGACCTTGATTGTAAGCAGGTGTAAACAATTAAGGACTCACTGATCTCGCCTGGTCCACCATCTTGTCACTTCACACTTCCCCGTTTGATGCAAAACTTAGTCACAGGCGGGCGACAGTAGTAGAAGACAGGGCATGATCCCGGTACTGAGGAAATCTGGAGTCTACTTGAGGAGACCCAGAGTGCAACCGATGAAGCACTAGTAGAATAAATAAGTATGTAATCCAAAGCTTCCTCCTGTGCTGTAGATCATCATGGCAACAGGAGTTCAAGAAGGGAACGTAACACAATTAAACAGTGAGCACACAAGACTATCTCAGGAAGGCCTCAGCCCAGCATGAGCTGAGTCTTGAAGGATGGCTGGGAATTGAAAGACAAAGTGGGGGTGGGAGGGGAGTAAGCTACAAAAGGCTTTCCAGGTGGACCAAAGGTGATGTCCTGGAAAACCACAGAGTGTGATCCAGTCGAGGGTGGCCAGGTAACGTGAGGACGAGTAGCCGGGGATCAGACTGGAAAGCTAGGGTGGGTCAAAGTGGAGAAGGCCCTTGAATAACAAACTGGAGTTTGTGCTGTTTCCTGGCTTTCAAGGCATTAATGATTGGTTTTGTTGACATTAGTGGAGGTTTGTTACATCATTTACAGAGCTGGGCTCTCCACTGGAGTACTGTCAAAAGACTAATTGCGCCTGAACTACTACAGAGCGGGCTTGGGGAAAGGGGGGGAGAGATGTATTAATTAACTTTGTTTTTAATGGAACTTTATCAGTGACTTAAAAACTCTTGGACTAATCAACAGGAGGCCCTCTCCATGCCAGTCTTCCATTGAGTTTTAATAGTAAAATGTTTATTTGGCAAGAATGAGTCAGGAAGTCGGGGTTTTCACAGCCTAGACTAATGCAAATGCATTAGCATTATCACTGGGTTTGGCAAACAATTCACTATCAAAGAAGATAACATTAAAGCACTAGCCACCAAGCAATGGAAATCAAAACCAGCCTTCAAATCTGTCTGATCATGAACAAACATTTTGGATATTCTCCTAAGATGACAAAGATGAGAAATGCTGCTACTATTGTGAGTGAGTTCCAAGGATGTAAAGAATAGGTATCGCTAAGAGACAGATAGGCTTCAGCTGATAATTCTCTCAGCCCTACTTAAGGAACAGTGCATTTCCCAGAGGCCTTTATTAAGTGTTCACCATGTGCCAAGCACTGGGGCTATCACAGGAGCCCACGTTCTATTGAGGAAAAGAGGCTTTCTGTGCAGGAGTAAAGGCGGGTATTCCAGGCAATGGAAAAAGTGTAGAGTCAGGATGAATATGCTAGATGATGAACAGCAAGTTAGTTGACGAAGCTTATAGGAACAGAATGCCCAGAAGGAAGTACAAGAAGACTGGAAAAGTAGAAAGGGGCAGGTTGTGGAGGGCTTTAAAGACCAAACAGGATTTTATGTTGGGGTGAGGGGGAAGAGGAGACATAGTCAGACCTATGCTTTAGCAAAACTGCTTTGGCAGTTAAATGGAAGATGCATAGGAGTAGGGAAGCACTTAAGATGGGGAAACCAATTACAAAGCTATTGTGACAGTTCAAACAAGAGGTGATGAGGACCTGTCCCAGGGTAGTAGCTGTGTGAGTGGAGAGAAAGGGACATGTAAGGGAATGCTGTGAAGGTAAACTACATGATTTGACAACAGAATAGATATATGGAATGAATGCAAGTGAGGAGTTGAGGATGACACAAAGGTTGGGAGCCTGGATGACTAGGAGGACGGTAAGTTCAATTCTGGACATGTTGAGATATCGGAGATGTCCAGAAGGCAACTGGTGAAATGGGAACGGAGCTCAGGAGAGCTGACGGCTAGATATGTGCCTCTGGAAATCATCTGCAGAGAGGATGAACCCATGGGAGCTGATGAGATCCCCATGAGAGACAAAGGGAAAAGATCCTTGGGGGACAACCAGGAAGGAGCCTTCAGGCACAGCACTGCAGTGCCCACGGACAGGCTGTAGACCAGGGCAAGAGGAGGTCCTAGATCCATTGGGGGCACCGCCAGGCCTATACAGGGTCACTGTGACTATGGCAGGTGTCAATGGGCAGCTTTGCTGTCAACTACCCAGTTCCGAGTCACAGACCTTCCAGCGTCTTCTGAGAAAGAGACCTGTCCAGGTCCCTGGGCAGTGGACAGAGCACTGGGCTTGGAATCAGGAAAACTCACCTTCCTAGTTGTATGACCCTGGGCAAGTCACTTAGCCCTGTCGGCCTCAGTTTCCTCATCTGTAAAATGAGAAGGAAATGGCAAACCACTCCAGCATCTTTGTCAGGAAAACCCTGAACAAGGTCACAGAGTTGGACATGACTGAACAAGAACAAGATCCTTCCATCCTTTATAGTTAAATGACTAGAGTACAAATAATACCAAAACTGAATTCTCGTCTAACTATATCCTATTCGATGTAACTATCCCAAACGGCCATAATAATAGAGAAAGCAGGACTGGCTCAAGGCTTATTGGCACCCCAGGCAGTGAACATTTGTGTCTTTAAGTCTGCCATTTGGGACACCCTTTAACATATACTATTTGGGGACGTTATGGGCTGGTACGGGGAGAAAATGAGGCATTTTAGCTCTCTGCTGAATCCTCAGAATTTCTAGACTTAATAAAATAGCCTGTCACTAAAAAATGAAAAAAAACCTAACAAAGCAAAAAGCACTTGGTTCAAGAGAGAGGGAAACAGCACAAGTTAATTAAGTTTCTCTGTAAGGGACAACCAATAAGCCTGATTTCTGAGCCCTAACAAGCCAAAATTCAGTCATCTTTTCAAATGCCATACTCTTTAGAACAGATACCATCATGATGGTGGATAGGAGGCCTCCAGAAGTAGGGTTATGTAGATTCCAGCCCTGCCTCTAACCCATTTCAGCTATGTCATCTTAGATCA